CCAGACACACTCAGATCACTGCACTGGTCCGAGGGCTGCTGGCCACTGTATTAGTCTTCCTGGGCTGCTGTAACCAAACACCCAGCCTGGGGCCTTCAGACCACACACCCTGACTGCTCATTGATGACCTCAGGCCACCACCCAAGCTAACCCCACCTCTGCCTGATGGCCATACCCATTTCCAGCCCAGTGGATCTTGGGATAAGGAAAGACATGGCAGCTGGCCATCGCTAGGAGCCCTGCTTCCTTCCCACCACCCATGCTGTGTGGACCAGAAAGCTAGCACATTGGGCCAGCTGTGTCCCTTGTCACCAGCCCCCCTTGTCACCTCTGAGTTCTTCAGCATCCTCTGGGCTGGGTCACCTTCTTTAGACTCAGCCACACCCTTGACTCTGTTGACTTTGTCGCCCATGTCCTCACAGAGGCTCCATGTTCTTAGGTGTCAAGCTTTCAATTCTGCAGATGTATCAACAAAATAACTCCTTTAATTACTATTATTACTATTGGTACTAGGGATCCAACCTGGGGTGCTTAACCACTGAGCTACATCCCTAAACCTTTTTTTATATTTTATTTTGACACAGACTCTCTCTAAGTTGCTTAGGGGCTTTCTGAGTTGCTGAGGCTGGTCTCCAACTAGCAATCCTCCTGCTTCTGCCTCCCAAGTCACAGAATTACAGGTGTGATGCACTTCAAAATGATTATTGACACAGGTGCATTAACAAGGTTGGAAATTATAATTTAGAGCTTATCTATTATTACATTATAATTATATCATTTTAATTAAATATGAAATTCTATGTTATATAGTCTATTTAACATTCTATGGGTATTCCCTATCTGGAGCAATGAGACACAGCAGAATCAAGACCCACCCAGATGCCCCTACCCACACAACCTCCCTCAAACTCTGCTCCCCAGAAAGCCAGCTCCCATGGCCCTAGACCATTTCTAACCCACGATCGTGCTCAGTCTGTTTGATAATCTGCCTAGCAGCACCCAACTTGCTTGCTTCCTGTTTTCTTAGAGATCTCTGCTCCCAGGACGAAAGGTCTCCTCAGAAAACATAGTGTTATCTGCTGTGGTGTGGCATGCCTGTAATCCCAGTGGCTTGGGAGGCTGAGGCAGGAGGGTTGAATTTCGGGGCGAGTCTCAGCAATGTAGTGAGGGCCTAGGCAATTGGACAAAACTCTGTATATAAGATATAAAAAAGGGCTGGGGATGTGGCTCAGTGGTTAGGCACACTGGGTTCAATCTGCAGTACCAAAAAAGAAAAATAAAATGAAGATAAAACAACCTACTAGGCTGCTAATCTAGGATAATCTTGGCTGATGAATTCAGCATTGGGGACGTTGGTTGCTATGGGAATGATACACTGAAATACAGTGAAGTTTTGTGGATGGGGTGGTGCTGTGTGTCTAGTTATTGGAAAAAATTATTTAAAATCGACCAGTGCAAGTAAAATTTCTCAGTGCTGCAAAACTCAGCTCCAGAAATGATAATTTTCCAACTGTAAAACTAGAGTATACTGAGTTTGTGAGGGTTTTCCTGGGGCTGTTATAATTAATAACCCAAAACAAACAGACTGAAATCAAAAGTGATCCAGGAACCACCACCCCCTCCCCCAGCCCTGGAGGGCAAAGGGCTGAGACCAGTGGTCACAAGGAGGAGCTCCCTCCACAGGATCCAGGGAGGCTCCTGCCTGCCTCTCCCAGCTCCTGGGGCTCCAGGTGGCCCCATGATTCCAGTCTCTGCCTCTGTCTCCATGTGGCTCCATCTCTGTGACTGTGTCCTCTCTTCTGTCTCTTGTGTGGACACTGCCATTGCATAAGGGCCCCCTGACCCAGAAGCAACCCATCTCAGGACCTTTCACTAACGACCTGTGCAGAGACCCTGTTTCCACACAAGATCCCACTCAGGGGTTCTAAGGGCCAGATGTGGACAGGACCCACCTCTTACAATGGTGTCCAGCTCCCTCCACAGGCTCCACGGAAGCTCCTTCCTGCCTCTCCCAGCTCCTGGGGCTCCAGGTGGCCCTTGGCAGAACAATGTGGTGGCCTCTCAAAAGCTTAGGATTGAATCACAATATGACCCAGCAATGCCACTGCTGGGTTCGGACCCAAAGGATTTGAAAGCTATGGGTCCAAAAGACACTTGCATATCCTGAGTTCACAGAAACCCTGATCCCCAGTATGACTGGGGACTAGGGAAAAAAATTATGTCTTAGTGGGGTGTGTGGGAGACAGGGCCAAAATGGGGCCAAAAGAGATGGTCTGAGTGGGGGACTTTGAAGGCCAAAGTATCTTAGAGAGTGCAGCAATTTTTTTTATTTTGGCTAAACTGTGTACGTGATGTCATATATGCTTGTCAACTGTACTCTGTTCTGAGCCCTTTATTCTCAGGAATAGCAAATCACTATCATTACTCAAATCCATCAGCATGCATCTGTGTATATATCTATCCATCTGTCTATCTACCAGCCATCCTTCCATCCACCCATCTGCCCACTTTCTCTCCCATGCATCGTGGATTTGTGTATTTTCCCACCCATCTACCCATTCATCCAGCCATCCATTCAGACATACATACATCTTCCCATCAGTCCATGCATCCTCCCACCCATTCACCCATCCTTCCATTCATCCAGGGGCATGTGGCCACTTCACCACACCTCCAGCCCTATTGTGTATTTTATTTAGAGTCAAGATCTCACTGAGTTGCTTAGCACCCTATTTTTGCTGATGCTGGCTTGAGCAAGCAATCCTCCTGCCTCAGCCTCCTGAGAGGCTGGGATTACAGTCCTGCACCACCATGCTTGTACTTCTTATTTCCTCATTGGTCTGATAACAGGTGGAGTCACCATCTGGGGTTATTTTCTCAGATCCATCACAGTTATGCTCCCACCCACATTCTTTTCACCTCAATAAAAAGGGGAGCTTATGTAGCTCAGTGCTAAAGTGCCCACGCCCTCAATTCAATTTTGACATGGGGGACAATAAAAGCACCTGGGATTCAATTCTCAGCTCTGGGCAGCTATGTGCCCACATTTCCACACTTTTTACACAAGAGCCCTTCTTGTCCATGGGCAATATTGTTAGGTAGAATGAATGTGAGACACTGTGCAGGATGTGAAAAACTTCACAAAATCCAACTTAAAAGAAAAAAATAAAATTGTATTTACTTTTCATTAGGGGAGTTAATATGACAGGCTGTATTGGCCCCAAGTGGCAAATTTTTATGTTTTATATGCGGGCTTTCTTGCAGAGCTGAGCAGGGATATTATTTCTTTCTGGTTTGACTATCAGTTGAAACCAAGAAAGCTGAGAGCCCTGGGTCAGCTTCAGGGGGTACATTGCTTCCTAGGCAGGATGCAGATGGGCTTGTGACTTTTCCAGAAAATGTTGGTGCATCTTTATACTGAGAGAAAATAATGAGGTCAGTCTGTGCAATAGAAGGATATGTTTCAAGGAGGCAAATGAGCTCACAGACATGTTATGAGAATACAGATGCCTGAAGCCTAACCTAATACAATTCTACATATTATGATATCATTTGCATATCACCTATTGCAATAATAATACAATATTATTTTTTATAATTAATACTAACTCCTACATACAATTTACCTATACATTCATGACAATCATTTCCCTTTCTAGAAAATCTCACAGCCCTTGTCAGCACCTAAACACAGGGTAAGGACTGGTTTCGTTGTCTCCCTGGTGTAGCTGCACTGGTCAGAGTTCCTTTCCTGCTTTCAATTGACACCTTTTCTTTTTGATTTTAGGGCAAACAGCTGAGCAGACTTGTGGGATCAGCAGAGTCAGGTCTGTACATAAGAATTGATAATAGTAGAAGGTAGACTATCTACATTGAGCACAAGGCGCCCATTTTATTTCCGCTGCACATTGCTGTTTTAGAGGGTTGCCTGCCTCCCCACACCCCACCCCTTTCTCTGCTGGAGATGGAACACTGAGCCACAGCCCCAACCCCAAATGTTTCCTTTTATAGCTCAGGCTGCCTCCTCAAAGATCAGAGGCCAGGAGGTAATGAGAACTACTAAAATAATTTTCAAACTGTTTTCATTAGTATATGCCGCAGTCTGTCTGGGCACAAATCACAAGCCACTGAAGCAGGAACAAACTTTATTTTTGAACTGCAAGAAAAAACCTCACACACAGCTCCTGGGGAATTCTCCCCAATGCCACATGGCTCCTCCAGGAACCCCCAGCCGGAAATATCTCTCTGGGAAATCCCTCCTCCTTCACTTCCCCAACCAATGGGAACTCTCGGGGAATCCCCGGAAATCCCCAGGAGAACTCAAAAGTTGTGGAAGAGGTGATAGTAATGCCTCCCCTGTCAATCAATACTGTTGGCAAAATGCCAGGGGCTCTCAGCAAGTACATATCATATACATGTGGATATATACATGATATTTTTAAAGAGTGTTTCGAAAATTTGGTGACAGCGTCTTCCTAATTTGCCTGAGGTATATATATA